GGAAAGGAAGGAAGGAAGGAAGGAAGGAAGGAAGGAAGGAAGGAAAGAAAGAAAGAAAGAAAGAAAGAAAGAAAGAAAGAAAGAAAGAAAGAAAGAGAAAGAAAGAAACTCTCACTGCTTCCTGACTGCCATGCTGTGAACTTTCTCTGTGCCCCTCTGCCATGTTGCCCTGCCCTTGAGCCACCCAACCATGGACTAAAACTGCTACAAACTGTGAGCTAAACTAAACCTTTTCTCCTTTAATTTGTGAGTGTTGGGCATTTTATCTTAGGAAGAGGAAAGTAACTAAGACACTATTCCATTAAATATAAAAAGGAGTAAAATATGAACACATGTTACAACATGGATAAACACTGAAAATATACTAAGTGAAAGAAGCAAACTACAAAATTTCCCATACCATATGATGTCATATATGTAGATTATATACAGCATATATAAAAGATCTAGAGTAGGCAAGTTTAGATATAGAGGGTGTATTGTATATGTGTGGGGAGGTGAAGGGGAGGATGGAAAGCTGTGTGTTAATATGGGATTTTGTTTTGAGGGAATGAAAATATTCTATAACTGATATGGTGGTTTGTAAATATACCAAAACCCACTGAATTGCGCATTTTATGTAGATTAATTGCATGACATGTAAATTATCTCAGCAGAAGTGTTAAAAAAGTGAAATTATAATGAATGGAATACATGGCTTTGGGCTGGATCTTTGGTAATGCAGGGTATTATTGCGACCACCTGGGACACAAGAATGGATCCAGTGCTAGTAGGCATCAGTGTCAATTTCCTTGTTCAGAAGGGTGTATTTCAGCAACAGAATGTCCTTGATTGTGAGGAATGTACATTGGTATTTGTAGTAGGGAATAAATACTAGGGCTTGCTGGAGTCAGGGAATTACTATGAGTTGCAAACTCTTTTTTTAAAAAAAATTTTAAAGAGAATAAATTTTTTTTTAAATTCTTAGAAATGATACAAAATTTCACTAAACAAAATGATAGGAATTCAACAATGCTTGTTATATTGCATATTGTTATCTTCAAATTAGTTGTTCAGATTGCTAGATATAAGCGTGCAAAATTAGTAAAAAATTAAGAAAAAATTAAACATTAACTGTTCCTTTCAATAGATGAGAAGAAAGCAGCAGTACAATTTTCCTACCAGTACAATTATCCTTCTTTCTTTCCTTCCTTCCTTTCTTCCTTCCTCCCTCCCTTTCTTTCTTTCTTTCTCTCTCTCTCTCTCTCTTTCTTTCTTTCTTTCTTTCTTTCTTTCTTTCTTTCTTTCTTTCTTTCTTTCTTTCTTTCTCTT